CTATGAGTTAAACAATATGGCTGCAGTGATAAATTTCAGGCATAAGGATAAAATAGGACAGCTTTAAGAAGCAAAGATCAGAGTCTGTTCTGAGGTAAAAGAGTACTGGATTGCTTACTTAAATTTTGTTTGATTTGTGAGTGGTCTGTCAGGCAGCAAGGACTTGCTAAGGGTTTGGAATTAGAATGAGATTCTAAACTAAAAGGAACCTTCTAACTAGAACCACTAAGCAAGCAGATCAGACCCTCTTCCAGGCTGGAATTTCATCCTTGGGGCTGTTTTAAAACTGGAGGTAGGATTCCTGAATGGTGTTCACCATTCATTACTTCAGAAAGAGGTACACATTAAAAGAACTAAGCAATAAAAAGGAGCCCAATAAGGATATTATAGTTAAGCATTTACCACACTACAGTTATAAATTACTTCCTATAATTTAAGGTGAAGACAAATATTAACTGAGCCCTATCTAATAAGTAAAATATTAAAAGTGAAGGGAGACATACATTTTATCAAACTTCACATGGTCAGAAGTCATAATTAGTATCTTTGCCAGTAGATGTACATTATCTACATATGAGTGTACATAAAACTACACTTTTATCACTGGAGAATATTTTTAAGAAAGTACTGCCAAAGTGGTTCAAACCATGCTTTCCTACCTTGAAAATGAGATGTCATCATTTTTTCACTTTTTTGTATAACAAGGACTCATGTTTGATTCTGTGCAGTTTTCCAAAAACCATTCCAGGAACACAGAAGGTAACATGATGAATTATGGGAAATATTAAAAAAATGAATATAATTTGAAAAATTCTAGAACAAAAATGCAAAAAATAACCTTACCTTACAAAATTATAGAATTGTCATCTTCCTCAGGTATATAACATATACTTACATAAAAACTGATATGATGCTGAATTATTATTATTAGTCAAAGGTCTGTGAATAATATTCACTTGTACTATATACAATCCCATTATTTAAAACACTGACTTTCTCCCAAGAACTCCAAATACATTACAAACATTATTACATGAATTCTCATAGCAAATCTCTTGGAATGAGGGCAGGTATCAAAATCTCTAAGCCTGAATCATATCATAAATTCATTCAAAGGTTTAAATAAGTATTAACCAAGAGGCTTCTATCCAGAGCTCTATCCTTTTTCCTTAAGAAAATTAAATCATAATAATGAATGATTAGTTTCTGAGCTTAATCCCCCAGAGCCTTTTAAAACAATCTATAAAAAGTTTCAGAATGTCTAAGAATTGGGAGTAATTAAAAATTTTAGAACACTAGTTATAATTACATGGGTGAATATATTTTTATTATTTATGTATTTGGGGAGAATTTTACATATTATACATATAGCTATATATATATTATATGGTCACTCAAACATTTAAAAAATGAACCGCTATCTATTAATATGTACATAAAACGTCAGGATTGCCTTTTCCATATATTTAGTATAAAGATTCATTACTATAAAATAACTGGCTCTCTAGCCTGTCATTTCTGGATAGTGGAGTGCTGTTTCAGAAGTCATAAAAGTAAAATGCAAGTAGATTATTATTTTGACCAATTTTTAAAACATTTATCTTCAGTATTTGACAATTTAAAATAATTTTACCTAACCCTATGGCTATCCATCTTGAAGTGTCAACTCCAATCACTGGGATCATGACACTTACTATACATAAAAATAAGTACCATTTAAAATTTTTAAAGCAAGAATCATCTTTTTTTGGTCATTGGCATATTATAGTCAAAGCAGTTAGTATCTGCCATAATCTATAATGTCACACTATTGTATTTTATTGCTAATTTGGATTATTTTATAAACATGTCTTAATAATCAATTTGCTGTTTTAAAGGAAACATCTCCTTATAAGCTACTATGAAAATTATAAATTTATTAGATTCTAGAATCTAGGCTTTAGGCTGCTATTGCTGTGGTCACTGGGTTTCTGAAACAATTTCTATTTTAGAAAGCTATGTTCAGCAATTGAATAGAGCTGGCCAAAATAAACAAAGCCCTGATGTATTTGACATTTGATATTATCCAAATATCACACAGAAATGGAGACTGCATAATAAAGGCATGGCTGTAATGAAGGTGAAAACTCTACGTGTAGGGAATCACATGTATTCCACTAGTCATAGTTAAATGACTTATCCAGGACATCGCCTCTATGACTATTTGTACATTTGAAAATGAATATATATATATATTCATGCCCTGAATGCTGAATGTGGACACTCGCCTGTCCACAAGGAACCCTCAGGCACATTAATGTATTGGCACATCATGTTTCCCAAAAGCATATGCTTGTTTGTGTATTTTAACTATTACCAATTGTTAAACGTCACTTTAACCCATTTTCTCTCAGTATAGCTAATTATCTTAGACCTTCCCAAAAGAGAAGTTCACATTTCCTTGATCACAACTATACTCTCATTACTTAAGAAGAATGCTGGGGCCTCTGGGACTTCTTGCCCCAGCACAGCACTGCTGGTTCCTGCAGACTAAGATAAGACATGGATCTCAAATTTGATAACTCTTCATTGAGATACAATGAACTTTTCTAAATTTATTCTCTTCAGCATTGGCATCTAGACTGAAATGAACTAAACTGCATAATTTCATTTTATATTGGGAGGGATCTAATATGCATTAAGTAATCAATCATGAATACCATTTATAATAGAAATAATTCCTTTAAGTACAGACAATTTTCTAAATAATATGTATTTTATCTCACATGATAAGGCTAACAATATATATGTTGTAAAGGTTATCTCTATTGTACCAAAATGGTTGAAATATTTTTCAGATAAAATTCTTGTGCTGCCATAATTATACCAAAGCTGTTTAAAGAGGCTCCATGCAGCAGCATGAAGATACATTGAAGAATACATGTTTCCTGAGAATGCAGAACTGAAATTTCTGTTAAAATTTACAGTGTGTTGAGTCACACATTTACAGTGTGTTGTCCTATGACATTAAGTCATAGGACATCACCTTGATAATGTGCTTTGATTCATGTTGCTTTGAGAAGCCAAGAATTCGGTGTAAATATACATGGTTTAAAAGTTTCCAAAGTTATTAAAAGAGTATGATCAGTTTTGTCACCAATTTCCTATCCTAGAACAAGGAACATGAATTTATGTTCTGGCTATAAAATTCTAGAATTAAAAAAAAAACACCTATAGATTTCCAATTTTAATAATATAACAACTTGGGTATTTTGTTTTATTGTGAAAAAGATTTAAAACAATGTGTGACAAAAAAAAAAAAAAAAACAATGTGTGAATACTACCTATTGTCCTATATTTTCTCTTTCCTCAAAGTCCTCCCAGCTGGCATTGGAATATGACAGCTTTGGTGAGGGAAAAAACACTTTCAGCAGCCAGGTGACTGGTGCCTATCACCAGACAAAGATGACTATCAATATTTAAGCACCTAACCCTTTGATGTATGAATACTGTTTATGTGAAAAGATAGCAGCAATATAAAGTATGGTTAATTTATGTTAATGATGAGCTGTATCTCTCAATATGTTTTTTGAGTCAGAGTCTCACTCTATTGTCCAGACTAGTGTGCCATGGCGTCAACCCTGCTCACAGCAACCTCAAACTCCTGGACTCAAGCAATCCTCCTGTCTCAGCCTCCCAAGTAGCTGGGACTACAGGCATGCACCACCATGTCCGGCTAATTTTCTATATATTTTTAGTTGGCCAAGTAATTTGTTTCTATTTTTTAGTAGAGACAGGGTCTCGGTCTTTCTCAGGCTGGTTTCGAACTCCTGACCTTGAGCGATCCACTTGCCTCAGCCTCCCAGATTGCTAGGATTACAGGCGTGAGCCACCACGCCCGGCCTCTCAATAAGTTTTAAGAAGAATTTCTACCATCCAAGAATCCTACAGGAAGAGAATAACTAAGGTGAATGCAGAAATTTGTATGTTGATGCATCTAAAGGAAAACTTTTTTCCCTAATCATGAAACAAAAAAGTGCATTTCTTAAGTGAAATGTAAAAAATATACAAAACATTATTTAATTTAATATATTATATAATACATATATAATATACATATTATATAATGTATATATTTTGTATGTATATATATGTATATATATATCTATAAAACAGCTGACAATTATTTCTCAATTTTGCAAATTGTTGAATGGATTTGGTTCTCAACACAACAAATAGAACATGTATCCTAAGGATCACATCACATTTCAAAAAGCACATTGATCATTCACAAAAACCCCCAAATGCAAACTTAGAGGCATCTTTAAACATCACAGAAATTTGCAGAGGCATGATACATTTGCTGACCATATCCTAATTTAAAAAACCATTTAAAGCAGTAGGTTCATTTTATCAGTTAAATTTTTACATGTGAAAATAAATAAACTTTTTTTCAAGTGTCATTTTGCTTTAAGGTTTTACAGGATAAGGCACTCTCTCAGTCTGCATGACCTTGCTTCCAGCCCCAGAACGTACTGAGTACATGTTAAATTAGTTAGCATCAGCATGTCACTGCAACAAATAAAAAGAATAACCTCATAAAGAGAGTGCAAGGTATTGCTCTTCAATTTTTCACTAAAGATAGAAATGAAGAGACAAAACTAATATATCTGTATAAATTAGAATGGATAGCCATAAATCTTTGAAATAATGAAACTATGTGAATTGAACAGACTTCTGATGTCAGATTTAAATGGTAGTAGATTAACTATAGCACTGACAATAAAATTCTGCTTTTATAAGAAATTCAATTAAGAAGGAAGGTCAATAATTACTATTTTCTTCTATTAAGAGTAACTGACCCTTCACTAATTAAATACTGAACTAAATAACAGCATTATAAAACTATTTCAAGTAGTATTCATTATCACAGTGAAAATGTGAGACCAATGTTAGAGTGAATGATTTGAAAATTCCTTTGATGAAAAAGGCAAGGGTACTAAATTAAAACATATACAAAATGCTTCAACGCATTTATGTGATATGAATAGAAAGATTATCCATAAAAAGTTAGAAAAATTAAGATAAATTATATATTAGTACACCTTCCCAACCACATTTTATATAAAAATTCAGAATAGTGTACTGTTACTTCAATCTACACAATAAAAATGCCTGGACTTGGCAGATTTCTTCTATCTGTGCATGTATTTTCTCAGTAGAAGGTTTATTTGTTGCAGTCACTTTTTAAAAGTTTAACTTTAATTGTTAACCTTACTGAGTCATCAGTAAACCCAGCTGATTGGGACCCACTGTGGTTCCATTCTCAGTTTCTCAATGGCAGTCTGTAGTTTTTCAAAGGCTTTGTCTAGATTGTCATTTATGATGATCAAATCAAAATAATGGTTGTATGCTCTCTGAATCCGTGCACTTTCATCCACTGTTTTCTTCAGGTCAGAGTCCTGTTGAACAGTTTTAAAAGGAAATGCTTGTGTTATAATGTATATTTACTTGTTCAAACTCTAACTAAAAGTGATCATAAGTAATAAGTAGGTTAGATATGTTTATTGTAATTCTGATATTAATCCTCAGAATTCAATCTATAGAGTGTTGAAGAAGACATCACTGTCTGTTCATATCCTAGTCTTTCCAGCTATACTCATGTTTACATTTATGAGTATTCTGTATCTTCTGCTTCACTCATATTAGGATAAGATTCCTAATTAAGAGAGTGCTGACAATAATCGTAGGGTGAATCTAAGGTAACGAAAGAACTATTGCAGGTGACTGCTTTCGAGCTTAATGGTATCATCCTTTTGGAAAGATTTTTATCTTATGGCCTATGTAAATCGTGGAACCCAATTTGCAGTGGCTGTTGAGCTCACAACCAAATGTGCTGCCTATTTCTAAGAAAGTCAGAAAATCTTAGAGGAGTGTAATTAGAATAACTTTACCTACTGCCCAGCCCCCACCAAAACACACATTCACACACTTTCATTTGTTTTTATCCTAATATTGTTTATATTTCATAAAGCAGTTCTAATCATTTTGAAATGACATGGGGAGTACCTAAGTAAGTATATGGGCTCTGTGTGAGAAGTAAAGCTTTTCATAAAATCACAAGTGTTTTGAAATTTCACTATATTTCTACATATTCTACAAATATTGGGTTCCTACTAAAATGTCTATTATGTTTCAGATTCAGTGGATATAACAATGAGTAGGGCAGGGAGTACTCCTATCCTTTAGCGGAGGAGACAGTTTATCTCTTATTTATTTTACGTTTTAATTTATTTATGTTATAAATGTTTAATTTATTATATTTTAATTTAATTTTATTTATTATATATTAATTTATTAAAATATTTTAATTTATTATGTTATAAATAAACATAAAATATTACAAGTTGTAATAAGTACTATTAAAGAAACAAACCAGGTACAAAGAATTATAAGAGATCTTCTTTAAATAATGTAATTAGAAAGACACTGAGTAAATGACATTTAAGCTGAGAACTAAAGGAAAATACAAAGGTGGGCATGTGTACAGTGGGGGAGAAAGAACATTCCAAGCAGAGAAAACAGCAATGCAGGGAATAAAAGAAATGACCCTGGTGCATTTAAGATACTGAAAAAAGACCAGAATCTATGGAGGGTTGGGAGGTGGGTAGGTCACAGAGGACCCATATGCGATGGAAAGATATCAGTGGGTCCTGAGTGGGAATGTGACACAGCACGAGTGGAAACAGGATGACTGATGGCATCATCCTGGTCAGAGAAAAGGGCAGCCTGGACTGTGATAGGGGCAGAGGAGGTGGAAATAACACCACACTAGAAATTTATTTTGGTGACAAAATCATCATAATTAGTTTTTCACATCATCAGGATGTGAAAAGAAAGGAAAATGAACAAATCAAGGCTAGTCTTTGGGTTTCTGGATTGAGTAAATGGGAGGCTGTAAAAGATGCAGAGTTGAGGTTTGGGGAGAACATAATTTTGGGGGGAAAACAAATTGTTCTACTTTGTATGTGGTAAGTTTCAGATGTCTGTGAGGCATCCAAGTGGAGACATAAAGCAGGCGACTGGTTATAGGAATTGGAGCTCTGAGGTCTAGGCCCACTGTATATAAATCATTAAAATAACAATGGTATGTATGTAAATGATTTTGAAATCACAGGACAGTGTAGAGAGAGAAGGGGATCCACCACTAGGTCTGAGGAACCCTAATACTTATATTAATATTTCAGTTAATACTTTCACTTAGATTGCTAAGTAAGTTTGACAACTAAAATATCTCTGATCATAGATGTATAAACAGGCCACAATTCAACTTGAAAGCAATTCTTACCTATTATAGTCATTAGCAATCTGATTTATTAAAAAAAGAAAAACCCCAAAATCCTATAACAATAATGGAATATGTTATATAGATGGAAAAGGGATAAAGACTCTCTCTATTGCTATAGAGTGGTCTTTAGGATATACTGGTAATAGAAAAATGCAGGCAGACTATTGTATATAATAAGCTACCATTTATGTAAGAAACACAGAAAGGAGGACACACATACAAACTTGTTTATATTAAAAAATAAAATAGTAGAAATGGCTACTGATTACAGCTACCTATGGGTAGGAGAGAATAGAGAGGATAGAGAAAAGCTAAATTGGTTTTTAAGATCTATGTCAGAGCTATGAAAATGTATAGAATTATCTAATAAAAAATAAATTCAAATGGAAAAAAGAGCAATACCTATAATCAAAAGCAAAATGAAACAACTTATTGGTTTAACCACACAAAAAGGAATTATTTCAGTGATTTTAAAACAAAATAATTAATACCTATTGGGATATATCCTAAGAACAATTAAACAAAAGCCTGAAACTTAAAACTTTTCAATAATCATATTGATCTCATTATTGAGAAATTATATATATATGTGTGTATGTATGTGTGTGTGTGTACTTTTACATACATGTAAAATAATAAATTATCTTAATATCAGGAACCACGATTTTCAGGATAAGAGGAAAAAAGACAAATATAAAGTCAAAGAAGTAAAAATAATGTAAAATTTGAATTGGAATTATCAAACTGACCTAATGATGTATGTTTCCTAAAAAAGAAAAATATATTTCCTACCTCTAGTTACTGAAAAAGTCTAGAAACAATGTCTAACTGAGTTGAAGATACACCCTTAGTGACTATACTCTCTTTACCATTTCCCTCTAAAAGAAACCAGGACTTTTGGATAGCTGGTTTCGGGTCTGGGACATGAAATGTAGAATAACCTGGAATAGCTTGTCATATCAGAAAGCAAAAAATCATCAAAGACTATTGTAATTGTGTTAAAAAGACTCAGAAGCCAAGCTGAATAGGTTCCTACTTGCTAGCTGAAGACAGGACAATTTAAACAACAAAAAGAATAATAACTGACCTAAGTACACAGAGAGGAAATATTGCAATTGCAAGTGACTTTAAAGCACAGACACTTGACTGCATATACTTAGTAGGATATATTCTAAGGATAGAAAGAACTGTGTGGGAGCTGCGTGTTCACAGTAATCATACCATTGGTGGTTGTGCTGATATACTTATTGTGTTGATATGCTGTTGACATACAAACTGTAGTGTATGTACTGTACAATAAAGCAAATGAACAATTATATTCTAATTTTAACATTCCAAGTGTTTTAAGAACTGGGATATTCAGCTTAAGAGAAAGGAATTAGACATATAAAAGCAGTTAATCCTGTAATCCTGGATTTGATTGGGTCCTGATTCAAACAAATCAACTGTAAAAAAAATTATAAATCTTAGAGAAATTCAAATATAGATGATATTAAGCTATTACTTATTAATCTTTTGTGTATTAATATTATGATCATGTTTAAAAAGTCTATCTTTTATAGATAAATATGAAAGTATGGATGACATAATATCAAAAGTTTGCTTCAAAATAATTCAAAGTGAAGGAGAAAGTGGGGGAAGGGTCTGATCGAAATAGGAATTGCCAGGTATTATTGAAGCTAGGTAATGGCACATTGGTGTTCATTTTTCCCTCTTTTCTATATATTTTTACATTTCCATAATATGAAAAAGGAGAGAGGAAGAAAAAGAGAAAACATGGAACAGAAATTAAACACCAGAATACCTAACTCTACCAGTAATAAACCAGATGATGGACATGCTTATTAATGGTCTTGGAGCCTAGTTACCTCATTAATGAAAAGAGGAGGTTGGATTAATATGTGTATTTAATACTGGTCTATTTCATTTTACAAAAGGAAACTAAACTTTTTTTTTAAAGTAAAGTGAACATGATTTTCAAGTAAAAGTAATACTGTTCCAAATCCTAACTATATCTACTGAATTTTTATTCTATGACACCTTATGTATGTTTATTTCATAAGCATGATTAGATAGAATTAAACACGCTCAAAAGGAAAGGAAAAATTTTAAAAGGAAAAGAATATTGCTAGCTCACCGTCAAAAGCTTGGTAGTGATTCCGGCATCCACCACAGCCTTGTGCATGGCACGTAATGTCTCTAGCTCTGGAGCAGCGATAAATACCACATAGGGCATAAACTCAGATGTCCTCAATACTTTCAGTGCCTGCATAGAAGAATAATTATAAACCAATTTATATAGAATAAGACATTGAATTATGCTATCCTTTAGTATAAACCAAAGTCTATCTGCCCTCTTCCTAAAGGTAAAGGACATAATTTAATACCTGTCCCTCCTGTCCTTCTGATTTCCTAAAGTAGTGATCCATTTATCTCGTTCTGAACTCAGTCTCACTCCTCTTTGTTCCTCTTGAACAAAGGAAAGTATAAAACTTAATGACCTAAAAATCAAGAGTGATGTAAACTCTTTCTATGTTAATTGTGGAATTCTGTTAATTAATTGGAGGGTGGTAAATAATGAATATACTTCCATATTTTGAAGTATGACACAGCAACTACAAAGAACAAAGAAAGCTCTACAGTAACTGACATGAAAAGATCTTTAATACTGTTTAATAACAATGAAAAACCCTAAAGAATCTATATAGAATTTTTCCATTTATGTAAAAGGAAACAACAAAAACAGAAAGCTCATTAATTTTATATTTGTATTTAAGGCATATAAAATGACTAGAAAAACACTTACCAAACTAATTTATCTCTGAGTAGAGAAGTAAGGTTGGGCTGAGTGTAGAGGGGTGGGAAATAATGGGTTAAGAGAGATGTGGAATGAGAATAAAATGAATTGTGTGTGTGTGTGTGTGTGTGTGTGTGTGTGTGTTTTAGGTGAGAAGAGGAGTGACTTAAATTATTTATTTTTTTATTTTTTGGGACAGGGTCTTGCTCTGTTGCCCAAGTGGGATGCAGTGGCATCATCATAGTTCACTGCAACCTCAAACTCTTGGGCTCAAGTGATCCTCCTGCTTCAGCCTCCTGAGTAGCGAGGACTACAAGCCCATACCACTATTTCTATTTTTTGTAGAGACAGTATCTTGTTATGTTGCCCAGGCTAGTCATGAACTGCTGGCCTCTAGAGATCCTTCCATCTCAGCCTCTCAAAATGCTAGGATTATGGGCATGAACCACTGCTCCTGGGCAATTTTTTATTCTCTATGTTGCAGCCTTGTTTGAGTTTTATTAATAAATTTGACATTTCTAAACATACTTGAGCAGGTAATACATACTAAACTTCTACTGCAGACCTACTCACAGTTTCTGTAGCCTCTGTTGGTTAACTGATCAGAGATTTATTTAGCTATGGATGCATAAGAAGGCTGTGTATCATTAAAGGGACTACAGAGAAAGAGCCACCTTCTTACCCTGACAAAACAAACATACACCCCCTCCCTAAAAAAAAAACAAAACACTCCACAGGAAATAAAATGTACGAAAATGGCTTTGGATTCTACGTAGCTTACTTGTGGGTTGACGTCCAAAATGCAAGTTCGTCCAGTTTGGACAACTTCTAGGATAGAATCAATCTTGGTTCCATAGAGATTTCCTTCATATTCCCCATGTTCCAAATACTTTCCAGCTTTGATATCTGCTTCCATCTCAGATCGTGACACAAATTTATATGCCTGGCCATCTTTTTCATCTTCCCTCGGTTTCCGTGAAGTAACTAAATAAAATAATGTCAAGAATTTGTACAAAGAGATTGTAGGGTGTAAAGATTAGACTAAAATACACAGGTAGCTTAACAGTTTTGCATGTAATGCAGGGGTCAGTTAATCATAGTCTATGGCCAAATCTGACTTGCTTCCTATTTTTGTAAATAAAGTTTTACTGGACCACAATCATGCTCATTCACTTATGTATCATCCATGTTTATTTTATTTAAAAAGGATTACTAGTTGTGACAGAGACTGTATGGCTTCCAAAGACTAAAATGTTTTTCATGTAGCCCTGGAATAGAAAAGATTTGCTGACTTCTGATTTAGAGGAATGTTTTATGAGGCAGATCCAACATAAAATTTGTATCAAAAATGTGCTTTTTAAAGTCATTTTGTAATTCAAAATATATTTACCTACAAGCAGAGACTTCAATTAAGTTCTTAATTATGGTGAGGCTTAAGTGTTAGGTATGTTACCCGTGAATATCTTTTCCAATTGACCAGCACACTTTCCTTAAAGAATCTATTATAACCTTCCTTTCCACTTTAACATTTCCTAATTGAGTGCCCAAAAGGTGAGCAAAGTTCACCTATTCTTACTTGGTAATATCAATCTTCTGAAGTATAGTTTTATCCACAAATTATCTATCCTTTATCTGGTCTCAACCCCAAACCTTTCTTTTAGTTTCCTGTTTATTGATCTCCCAAACGTTAAATGTCCTGATTTTACACTTCAGTGGTGGAGCCAGCCACCTCATTATTGTTATGGTCTATTAACCTCCTCTACCCTGACCTGACATGTTATTTCTGAGAGAATGAGAGTGAATAGCCCAAGTCAAAATTTAGACGTAGGGGAACTTTTTGTTTGATATTTTAGAGTTTTGAATACTTTCAGAGCCATACAACTCTTTTGCAAATTGGTCTGTGCTAATAATGATTATCATCTTTCAAACTGTTGCAGAAGTATACTTTCTGACAACTTTGTTAACAACTTTGAAGATGAGAAATAATTTTTTTAAAAATATGGAATGCTTCATGAATTTGTGTATCATCCTTGGGCGGAGGCCATGCTAATCTTCTCTGTATCATTCCAATTTTAGCACATGTGCTACTGAAACAAGTACAAGAAAAGTAATTTTTGTGTGTGTTATTTCAAGCTTAGCCTTAATCTGAGCTTGGCTGGATAAGCTATGAAAAGTACCTATTCCACTAAGTACTTATAAATGTAGAATATGTGACCAAATCATTAAGTACATAAAATTAAAATGAGAAAGTAATCTAAATAAAAAGTTGACCGTGTTTTGACTATTCCTAGAATAAGCATGAGATGTGAAGAAAACTTTTATAAGAACAAATGAACTTCACTCAAAAATAAGGGTCTATCTAATTCATAAATAAGGTCATTGTGCACAACAGGACTCTCTTTCTCTCCTGCTGTTTTCTGGCTTAACTTTGAAGGGGGTCATTCCAAACCCCTGTGAAAAGCATTTATAAAGTAAGCTCAATAATCTTTAAGATGCTATGATGGCTTTTCATATACAAAACTGTGTGATCTCTAAGGTTTCTGAATTAGTCCCCAAAGGTATATGATAAAACTTCTAAGGCAACTTTAAACTCCCCACATGAATGCAAAATAAAAGTTGGCTCAATCTGTGGACATAATTCTAAAGAGTACTGCTTTCTAGTGAAGCCCTACAATGAAACCATATATGGAAATGTGCTGCTTAAAATAAATATGCATATACACACGTATTATCCCTATCTCTACCTCCCAATACGTTGAGGGAATCTTAATTCTCAGCTAAATGTTCTTTACAAGTGAATTTTAACTACAATCTAATTCTCTATTGAATACTCTAAAAAAATTAAAAAATAAAAATCCATACTGCAACATACTTAAACTTCTTTCTATTCTTAGAATAGAGAAGTTAGAACAGAATGGCTTGACTATAGCCAATTTTTTAAGGTTATATACTGAGCAACTAAATAATGTGATTTTCTTAGAAATGAATTTTTGTGACTGATAGGCAAAATTCTAAATATTAGCAGTTCTTCAAGTAATGAGGATACAATCAACAAAGTAATACTTCATTTGTTATCTAAGCTCAAGAGTCAATGTTATTCTCTTCTTCAGATGGCTAAAAATATAAAAAAAGTTTTTTAGAAGGGTTAATGTTAAAGAGAAAATAGGATTCACAAGGTAGTTTATCCCCCTGGAATAGCAAAGTTTTTCTTTTTTATTTTAGAATAATTTTATAATATATGAAGAAAATTAAATCAACTCAATACAATGCCAGCATTTACCTCCCTTCCTATACCACCTGACAATTTGTAGCACAATACTGTGTATGAGAAATTAGGCAAACTTGTCACATTTAATCAGTGTTTCTTTTCTGTGCTGATTCTGAGACTTTAAGAAAAGCTAGATGCTATATAAATATGAATGACTTAAAGAAAATTAAAACACACATTATATAAAGAAGTGAGAGTTGACTTGATGTATGGATATACATAAATCCTTCCATATAAAAATTCAGACTTGAATCTTTACTAAAAAAAATAAAGGTCAGTTCAAAGGTAAAATAGAACATCTTTCTGGACATTAATTTGGCACTAGAAAATCAAGAAGTTGAAACTTTTATGTCTACCTTTTGATCTAATAATTTTACATTTGATATTCATGTATTTACACTTTACCATCACTTTGTCTGTAACAAAAATACCCCTCCTACAATAGCAGTAATGGTTAAATTAAGTGTAGCATACTTATATATTGAAATATTAAGAAACTATTAATAGATTAAGATTTTTTAGTGTTTTTACTGTGCTAAGATATACATAACATAAAACTTACCATTTTAAACATTTTTAAGTGATAATTCAGTGGCATTAAGTACATTCACATTTTTGAATAACCATCAGTACTACCCATCTCTAGAATCTTTTCATGATCCCAACTGAAACTCTGCACTCATTAAACAACTCCCCATTAAGCTCTCCCCCATCTCCTGGTAACCACTACTCTACTTTTTCTCTACAAATTTGATATATTCTAGGTATCCCATATAAGTGGAATCACACAATATTTCTCTTTTTGCATCTAATTTCACTCAGCATGTCTTCAAGGTTCATTCATGTATCAGACTTGAATGTATGTTGTATCATACATGTATGATGTATCAGACTTGAATATATGACTATGAATGTAATGTTGTACTATGTATCAGACTTTCATTCTTTTTAAGGTTGAATAATATTCCAGTACTCATCACATTTTGTTTACTATGTGCCATCTATGGACATTTGGGTTGTTTCTACGTTTTGACTATTATAAACAATTCTGCTATGAATGCTAGTTTATAAATATCTGTTTGAATCTCAAATTTCAATTCTTTGGGGTATATACCTAGGAACTGCTGGATCACATGATAATTCTATGCTTAATTTTTTAAGGATACATTATACTGTTTTCTACACTGGGTACATCATTTTACATTCCTACCAGTAATGCATAAAGGTTCCCACATATTTCCACACTTCACCAACACTTATGACTTTTTATTTTTTCTAAAATATAATAGCCATGCTAATGGGTATGAAGTGGTGTATCCTTGTGGTTTTGATTTGCATTCCCCTAAAGGTTACTGATATTGAGCATATTTTCATGCGTTTATTGGCTATTTTTATACTTTTTTTGAAGAAATGTCTACTTGCCCATTTTTAATTTTTTTTATTGAGTTGTAAGATTAATGTTTACAAAGATGCTTTAATGATTAGTGAGAAAAAAGCTCATGATGTTCATTTGTTTATCAAATATTTTTTGGGTATATACTATGTGTCAAACCCTATTCTAGGTGCTGGGTCTACAGAAGTGCAAAAGACAGACAAGTTCTCTGTTCTTATGAGACATATGCCTTAACATGGAGATAAGTGAGTAATCAAATAACAAATAAGAATTTAAGTGCTAAAACACAACCACTAAGCAATGGAGAAGCTCCTGTAAGTTGAATGGCCTGTGAAGGCCTCTGAAAAAATAAGACTTGAATAAAATGTAAAATTCAAAAGCATGTGAAAATCTGGGAGGCAGAGTGTTCTAGGCAGATGGACTACAAGAACAAAAAAGGCATGAATAATAAGCTTGAGAAGTTTGAAGAAAAGAAAGATTAGTGTGTTAAGCCAGGGAAAAAAGTATAGAAATTTTATATGAACAATACAACTGTAATTGTGCAATGACAAATTCTGTAATTAGAAGTTATTAAACTGTTCTGAAGGTACTCTGCACAGAAAGGTGGTAGGAGTGGTAGAGAATGAAGCAAAAAGAGAACATAAAATATGGGATAGGAGCTGGAGGTGAGATCACAAGGGGACAGCTAGAGATTGTAATACCCTTGGGCCAAGGAATTGCAGAGTACAGAAGTCTCCATGGAGTCTCCAAACAACCTGCAAATAGGCCTCATTGAAGAGACAGTATTTGGACATTCGGGACATAAAGGACTTTAACAGGCAAGATTTCACATGACAGTACTTTATCTCTTTTCCTTTAATGCCTCATTATTCCTGTTCTCTCTTGAGAAATAGCAGAGCAGGATGTAAAGGGAAGGTAATAAACTATACCCTACTCTTCACAATGCAGGTCCTGAACTATGGATAAGGAAATCAGCTGTGAGGAAGGGAAAAACTGTAAATTGAATGCAAGACTAAAGTTTTAAGGGGACTAGTCTTTCTAAAAAAAATACAGTCAGCCCTCCTTTATCTATGGGTTCCGTACCTGTGGCTTCAACTAGTCGTTGGTTAAAAATATTCAGAAAAAAGATTGTGTCTTTACTGAACATATATAGATTTTTCTTATTGTCATTATTCCCTGAACAATACAGTGTAACAATTTATATATACATTGTACTAGGAATTACAAGTAATCTAGGGATGATTTAAAGTATATGGGAGCTGTGGTCCCCAACCTTTCCGTCACCAGGGACCGTTTTCATGTAAGACAATTTTTCCATGGACT